TCTTGGTTGATAAGAATTAAGATATCCGGGATTCTATTTATAAATGGTATAGTCATATATCGGCTCAGTTATAAAAGTGAACAAAATAATACTTGCCCGTGTTTATAAGATATATATAGGGTCAACTAATATTTATTTAATAATAATAGTTGCTCGTACCTACCAATAAGCACTATGTTCTATTTACAAAGTATTTCTGTCATAAAGACTGATGCATAAATAAAGTATATTTCAAATGTCAATTGTAAATTTGTACTTAATATGAAAACAAAATAGAAAATTGAACAAAAGTAAATTACATAGTTACGATACGAATGTGTTGTACAACTAAAATACGCATCTGTATCGTGTATATTACGCGAATGTTTACACAAGTACGTATGTATATAATATAGACAAACAAATTGTGGTCGGACGGGTCGACGCTACCCATTCATGAATGTTCGCTCAATCGGCATTTCACTACAAAAATATTTGTATTATGTATAATGTTAGTTTAGAGAGCGAACATATTATGCGGTCAATGTGTGTGCTGGCCGGCTGCCTGCACGCGGCAGGCGCGTTCTACTTGCAGCCTAATTGAATTAGAAGCAATCGGCTCTGACTACATGTACTCTGCGCCAATGCTGGTACCGCCCTCCTCATTCGCTCGTCTTAGGGTCATTGTTTCCCCCACACCCAACATTAACCGATGATTAACATCTCAGAGTCAGACTCGAACAGCTTCATTCAATCGTAATGAACCTCTTAACCATTATATGTATTAGGTTAACAATTATCTTCCTTTAGTGCTCGACTACAACGTCGAACCTAATGTTAATTTATTTGTAAAATAAAAAATGTAACGAAAACAGGGCTCCCACACGAACGAAAAACCTTTTCGTCATTAAAAAAAAATAGTTTGGAAATAATTACACGATTATAATACGTACAAAATACACTTATGCAAAATGTCATCTATCCACATTGTGCGTGCATCGCGTCGTCTCGGCTGGATTCCGGCGTCATACGAGTAACCATTGCGGTAAAAAGCAACATGACCCCAACTCTGAAGAAACAAACGAAAGCTACTACGCATCTGATAAAACTGGTCATATGTAGTTAAATAGCTTTGAAAGTTTTAAACAAGCAAGGCGTTTATAATAGAAAACTGCCCAACAATTTTGACTAATATTTAAATAGCAATTTCACCTATGCTCGCGACTCTGTTGGTCTACTATAGTTGTCAAGGTACGCAGTAGCTTAAAATTTGAATTTAATAAGTCAAACTCAGTACTTATGGGTTTAAATCAGGGTAGTAAACCAAGAAGTCCCGATGATCCCTTGTTTTATGATTTAATTATATGAATAAAATATTGCATTCATATACATCATTATAATTAATAAATACTAAAGTATTGATATTATGGTAACACATAATTTATGTATATTGGATTATTTCGTGAAAATTTGTTACATAAAACTGTTTCTTACTGAAACTTAAAAATTGGCATAAAATATCTACTATAGCTATACTTACAAGTATCAGCTTGATTTCAATTTCAACTAAAAGATCCCTGTTAAAATTCTTCTAATAGATAGATGTCCTTTCCAGTACCTACACCTAACACCACTTTTAATTAAATAGATTTAAAGGCAAACAGATCATTTCTGTAGAAAAAGTACCAATGTTTACAAAAATATCAATGGAATGCAAACATAAGGTGCAGAATATCATAGCGTAGTGAGCCGTCGCTGTTAGCATATCTATGATAAAGGGTCGCCGGTGAAAACGCTCGCGCCGTGAGAAAGTAAAAAGACGCAATCAGCGAGAGAAAAGCTCGCAGAAACCGTCAAGATGCAGCCAGAGGCCTAATGAAGTACTTAAAAATTCAGGACGCCAGCCACAGCTCTGACCTACTGTTGGATAGGCTATTAACATCACTATTAACATAGTTTACAGACGTATTCAAGATTTCTCAATCAAAAATATTCGCCTGTTGGTGGATCGTCTATTACCTACTACGGATATATTTATCATGCTGTTTCTTTTTTATTTTTATGGCAATTGACCAACCGTTTACTATAAAACGAACCGTATGTTTGTTTGACATCTTTGTTATACAAATATAAAAAAGAATTAGGAATCCCTTCTTGTTAACTGAATATATTTTTTAATTTATTTTCATTCTAATAATGTAACTCGAAGTTGACGATGCATGAAAAGTTAAATTAACGTTAAATGTACACACATGGATATATCAGTGTACAACTGAAATTCAAAGACTTACCAAATCAGATGTTTAAAGAATTCTGTACCTATACATCACAAAATCCGGCCGCGATCCCCAAAAAATTGGACCTGAAAGTTCGCAATCATTATATTGAGTCAACTCACGACGAACATCTGACTCATTGAGGCAACGACCGGGTGGTACGTACTCGACTGAATCGCGATTTTGCTATCAAAATGAATGAGTAGGCAGTATGCACAAGGATTCTTTTAGATAAGATATACAGGTTTCATCATATTCATTGTTAATATAATAACACTAGAAAATATTATAATAGTAAATACCGACGCGCTCACTGGAATACGTGTGTAAACTCAGTAATGAAACAATAAAACATTAACATTCATAACTTAACTCATACCTAAGGACTATAAAGATCCTAGCGACCTATATGAACAGACCAACTCCTTGGAATAAAGACATAAGTAAATACCATATCTGTCTAATTAAAATGTAAAACTTGTCCATATTCAATACAATACTATTTGGTTGAGTAGGTATATACATAGAACTGGCAGGTGTCATGTTTGTTCACTGCCATACCATTGTTAAATATCATGAACAAAGTATGCTGGTGACTTCACCTATGTTACAAAGACATAATGCTAGATCCTGATGAAAAGCAGAATAAAGATCCTTTTGCAGATAAATCTAGATGCTCAACATCCTTGAGCCAAATCAACTAAAGTTTAAAAAGCAATTTGATCAATTGATTAGTTGTAAATAGAGAAATGAAATTAATTAAGCAAAAAATTCCTTAATTTCAACATAAAACGGAAGAGAAAAAGAGATGTATCTATGTGATTAAACATAATAAAGTAAGTATTATATTATATGTATATTAAGTAACAAAAGTCTAAGCAACTGTACAAATTACACATTTAAAATATAGATTAAGAACTGGGATTTCAATACATTATGGTAATGTTTTGGAATCCTGAGACAAAAAAGTATTTACTTACTGATATACATATTCCTAAATCCTATTTTCTAGTAATACTTGATTAAAAAAGCAGGAAACAATATTAAGTTGTTTTGAAATTCTAATATTTTCATTAATCCTTCTCTAATTTATCTAACTATGTACAAAAAGAATAAAATAATATCATAGCAATGTTATGAGCTACAGTTGACCAGACCGTTCGACATAATACACACTTTTATATGATTATATTGATCTAAATGTTTTTTTTTTTGGGCTCTTTTAGAGAGCAACCCAAAATAGAGTACACTGGAAGGAATTAGAGGAGGCCTTTGCCATAAGGCACTCTGTACTGCGGGATATAATATAGAAAATGAAATTAATAATTTAACATAAAAAATTTAAACTACTTAACAAATAATAATAGTAAAAAAATATATATAATAATAATAAATTTATAGTATAATATAATAATATGAATGAACAGGAATGTAGAAAAAAAAATTAATAATAGTAGAGAAATAAAGGCTTCTTTATCTTTATCTTATCTTAAATGTTTTTAACATGTATTATAGCATATTCCTTTTTTTAATATAGTTACATATTACTACAAAAATTGGGGCAGAAGAAAAAAAGACCCACAAGTATAACCCATAAAACAATGTGCAACATCTTCTATATATTGTAAATATAATAAGATCATTTATATTTACTTATATTAATAAATATATATATATATATATACATATAGATATATATATATATATATATATATATTATATACGGAAAAGATTGATTTGATAGATCCTCATCTAAGGAATGAATTGAAAAACACTAGGATTGTCAGCATATTCTAAATGTATGACGTACTACGAGCAGCGCAGGACAGATCATTGTGGAGATCTTTGGGGGAGGCCTATGTCCAGCAGTGGACGTCTTCCAGGCTGCAATGATGAAATGTATGGCAACTCATATATATAGGGGAGAAGGGGATTATCAGTAATGTGGACTCTTGACCTCATTGCTAGCAATGTACTCCATAAGATTCCCCTTGCTAACTATCATGACATATTCCTACTGAAATTTTCAAAATGATCTAACTGACCTGACCTCCTGTTAATCTTATCATCTTAAACAGGTGGCTCGTCATAGTAAACCACAGTGCAGGTGGGTGAATCTTCCATTATCATCCATTAAAAAAACTCATAGGTATGTATATATGAGTCTCCATACACATGTAACAGTGGATATAAAAAAAGAATTGTTACAATACAATATTATAAACTAGGTAACCCTGCGACTTCAGGCATGTATAACTTTATTTGTAAACCAATTGTAATGTAATAAACATTCTATTTAAGTGGTATTTACTACAATACACTATTAAAACTGAACCTAAATTAGTTAAACCATTTGGGAGATTCACACTCAACAGATAAATGGACATTAATTTTAGTAATCATTGATTTGCGTTATATTACTTTCATAATAGTTTTCCTCATGCATCTTTCGGGTACAGACAGATAAATAACATTTTTTTTATGTAGAGATATAGATAATATCTGCTTCCTTTTCCATCTACCTAATAAAGTATAATAAGGTGGGAAAATGGATAAAGATATTAGACAATTAAATAATTGTAATTCAAATAACATAAAAAAACTCAGATAAATTACAAAACATTGGGTCACGTTGACAGGTTAATGACAACATGAGTCTATACAGGTACCTGTATCATCATACCACGTTTAATAGATAAACTGACATAGGAATAAAACTATTTCAATATAAAAAATAGTACGAACCTGATAAAGAATGATCACGTAATCCTTACAAACACAGAAACAACGTGTGTACACATATTAAAATCTGAAAAGTTATATAGTAACAAACTACCACTACGTTTGATGTTACTCAAAAACTTAAAAGGCACTATCATATCACATATCAAAGTCATTATTAGTCACAACATGGTAAAAAACAAGTTTTCGCTCGTGTACACAATATATTTTCACGGCTTAAAGGTCTGTAAAACACTTTTGATTTATTTAACGGAACGAACAATGAGAACAAGCACGACACGACAACATAGAGTTTGATAAAACAAACTTCAGAAAAAGTAGTAAAGCATCCACAGTCCACACAACCAAACCAAGCAAACTTTTTCGTCGCGAATGTGTTTAGTGTTGCCAACTAAATGTTACATCTTTGTGCTATACGTATAAAGTTTTCAGTGTTCCACAACATTAACTGTTGTGGAATTGGAAACGTGTTGGAAATTAAAGTTGTGTTATAAATATAGATTTATTGAATAAAAATTACAAAAGCAAATAATGACCATAAGAATTTAGTATGATTGGGAGATGTTGGATTAAATAATAATTAAATACAATGACAAGAATTAACCTCATATTTTTTAATTTTTCCGGCCGGATTATTCATTATTAATAGACTATTATATAGTATATAGTAGAGAATATATCAATAATTGAATTATATAAACGTAATATGTCAAAATCAACAAATAAAAACCGTAACCATAATGGATAAATATTAATAAGTACTGGCAAGATTTCTCACTATAAAAACTGTTAAGCTCTAAATTAACAAAATGTGCCTTCAAAGGAAGAAAAGAAATATCATGGTATAAAAAATTCGGATGACACTATGTTTTAGCAGATTTGGTACTAATATAGTTCTTCCCTGTGAATGTTCCTGTCTATCTTAGTATTCAACTAAAGAATATACTACTCAAGCGTCAAACTGTTAGCTGTTTAGTCGCGAATGAAACAGACAGACACACATCGTACATATAATACATATATATAGTGTAGAGGAAAAGGCGATTGTTAGTAATGTGGACTGATGACCCCATTGCTAACAATGTACCAAGTCAGGTTGATCTTCACGCGGTTTACCCTGGAAATCATCAGGATAATTTCCTGGTGAATTTGTCGCGATGGGCTCACTGATCTGACTTCATATTCATCTTATAGTCCTCCACTGGTGCCCCGCCAGCGAAACCCGTTACCGCAGACGAGTGTACCATTCCATTATCATACATTATAACAGAAAATTATAATTTGTTTGTATTATCATTTATACACGCAGTTTTATAAACAAGCAAATTTTTTGTAGCTAAAATCGAAAGATAGCGCTACCGGATTCAATAAAAAAAGAAAAATCAAAACAGTCAACTAATACGCCATTTAAACTGACTCGGCCTGACGTCAATTTTTGCCTCATTCATTGGGTCGGGTCAGCGAACAATAGAATAAAATAGAATTATTGAATTTGCATATTACAGGTAGCGTACTTGCACTAGGTAGGTAGAAATTTCATATTAACATACAGTGCATGTTTAACACGTCTAAAATCGACAAAAGATTTAAGAATACATTCTCAGGAACAACAAAGCTACGTAATTGAAATAAAGTCGTTATAGAATTTTATAGATTTATTTATATTGTTCTAAAATTGTACAATCACGCACATACACACAATAATTGTCATTTAAAAACAATACCTATTAGATTTCAGTCTGCTCAACATACAAAATGAATGATACAAAATGGCACTACCCATACACCACACTACACTGTTTATGGATTAGCATTTTGATAGATCGGATTTTCTTAATAAAAAATACAATATTTGATACCTTAAAATTATTTACGAATTTTTATAACACAATAAATTGAATGGGAAATAATATAAAATCAAAAACAAAATTTAAAATATTTATTATAGAAAAAAATAATACTTGATTTATGATGTCAAAATGACAATTCTACATAATTAGGTAAAGTATATGAAATTATTCTTAATAATAAATCGGAGATTACAAAGTACCTAAGAATAAATCTACAAAAAAGTTTTCTTACCAATTATATCTTATAGTTGTACCATTGTACGTGTCTAAGGAGAGCTAGGTCAGACCAAAATTTATTCATGTAAGTTATTTAACAAAACATTTGAAATAAATGCAATTTATGGTCATACACAATACTTTTTTTATTTAGCAGCTACCTTTTATCTTAAACATTAATCCTTACACATGAGTTCTCACATGATTAAAGTTTGGATAGACAAAAATGTCTGAGATTTTTGTACTGTCAAGATAACCCTCAATACAATTACTATCAAAATTTCTTCATGCCAAAATTTACAATACTGAACATTCACAGTAAATGAATGTGTTGCAGTGACCAAAACAGCTAGAGTTATCATGACAAACAAATTACACTAAAGTGAGTGTCAATGTGTTATAAAGTTAAACACATTTTACTGGTCAGAGCCTTCTTCCTCTTCATCTTCATCTTGCTCCTCTTCAGTCGATGCAGCATCCTTTTTAGGTGGAGGGGCGTCCTTACGTGGCCTACCACGCCCTCTTCCTTCAACTGGTGCACTCTAAAGAAAAAAAAATTAATATTGAATATTTGATGACTATGACTAATATTCATAAAATGATACAAGTAATAATGAAATGTGAAATACCTTTGCCTTGGCTGCAGTCTTTTTTTTGGAACCTTTAGGCCGACCTCGGCCTCTTTTTGCTACCGGTGCTTGTTCATCATCAGAGGATTTGGTTGATTCTTTTGTTTTACCAGGTGCCGGCTGTCTACCTCTTTTCTTCGTGTCACTTTTAGCCTCCTGAAAAATAATCACATTATTTAATCATAGGAATAATATAGAAAAGTAGCAATTACGTAAATCAATACATTAGTTACTAACCGACTGTGTGCCATTGGATTTAGGCCTGCCACGACCTTTCTTCTCAACAGTTGTTGTTCCGTCATCAGACATTTCAGTTATATTATATTATACTAGGTCGGTAAAATCTGTAACACAAAAAAGTAATTTATAATACATATATAACTAAAAAGGTGTCCTGAAAAAGCACAATGCAGACAATACTGTATATGTAAAAACAAGTCATGAAATGTAGTTTCATTAGATTCAATAATTAAGTTATGGTAAATATAATCAGTTATAATTATTAGAATTTAATTCATTTATATAATAGTTTCTATATAGTAAAAACTAACTGTACAACGCACCATACAACAAGGAGCGTATAATCATTATACCCCTGAAAACAGGTAAGTAATAAATTTTATCATGGAAACACTACACACATAATCTACATATACACTTAACAATGGAAGCTACCTCAAAAAGGGTGCAATATTGATTACATTGAATAATTAATATATTTGGTAATGATAATATAGTAGAAATATTTAAGAACCATTAATTAAACATAAGTATATAATGTCAACATAGCAAGAAATGACGCTATGTAAAGTGGTCGGAGTTCCGCTTTATTTCTAAATACAGGAATATTTATTAAGTCATTTATTTATTAGGACAGAAAATAAAATAAATATACTACAAATATAGAAACACATACCAAATTAATTTTGAAAATGAAGCTAGTAAAAATTGAAATCTAAATGAATGGTCGGTAAAAGGACAAATTAATGGAGTCTGCTTGGGATACGTTTAGACAAGAGAAATTAGTCAAGTAACACGATACAGTATTGCTTATTCAACAACACGGATAACAGTGTTATTTAAATTAAATTTACACATTGTATCTAAGAATTTTTAAAATTATAAAATAAGTACTTACGGAGTTGTTTACAGCAAAGGATAACGCGAAGGCCAAAGAAATTATTATGGCGGGGAGTGAAACGACCGGCGTTTATTTGGCGTCTGTGTAGAGGGCGCTGAGAATGAAGGGTGTGATGGAACCCGCGTAATATAAATATACATTTTCAAAGTAGTAATATTTATGTCTTAACTATATAAATATTATAAATATGTTCTCGTATTAAGATTTTGATTACAACTTAATGTTAAAATAAATTTTAATTCTTGCAGTATGAATGGCCACTACATCAATTTTAAAGTTCGCGCCAATAAAATGTACGTTGAACACGCTCTCTAGAGTTGCCATTTATTTTGCAATTTAAGAAATATAAAAATAAATCTAAAAAAATAATTTGTTTTAAACTATAAAGCACAAAGTAAAATAAATATGAAAACATTAGCAAGATATCTACGTCCCTTTAAGGAAATGAAATACTTTATTGACGAAAGCTTTATTATAACGTGGTACTGCGTGGCAAAAATAATATTTAGAATTAGCATTATATTTAGTCAATTAGCCATAGTGACAAATTTAGCAGAAATTAACAACAATAGTTTTATATCGTCATTTGGTCGCGGGTTCGATTCCTCCCACGGCACAGACATTTGTATTCCTGAGTATGACTGTTGGTATCGGTCTGGGTGTTTTCTATGTATAATATGTATGTATTTACGAAAAAAAAATGTATTTGTATTAGTTATCCAGTGCTCATAACACAAGCTTTAGCAAGCTTAACTTGGTCTAGATGGCGTTATGTGAATTGTCCTGAGATTACTATATCAGAGTGCTTTGCTGTCACAACCTGTATCATTCAGATAAATTTTATTATGTTATCAGAATCAGTTGCAAATATACATTAACATAAATTTTTGTGTAGATTAGGTATGAAATCACGAAATTCGACTAGAGTTTCTTAAAAATAATTTAATGTAACAACGAACGAGAAAAGTAATTAATTATATATAGATAAATTAAAGTTTTACGTTTCATTGTGCAGTAATGACTAAACATAATGAATACTTAATTTTTCAATATTACGAAATAGTATGAAATCAATAGTACGAAATTTGGTTTACAGAAATGAAAGAGTAAAACACTGGTCAAAATATTATTTGAGTTTAGAGAGCCAAATTGTGTTATTTTACTTCTTCGTTGGAATATAATTTAAGGTTGGCAACTCTGCATCAACTAGAGACGTAGAATGTCCTATTCTAAAAAACGATAATTTATCAATTATATTATAGTCACCACAATAATTGTTTAAAAAAAATGTTGCTATTAAAACAAATGCTTGTATGGAACGAAGAGTCGATTTCTTGATTCTAAACATAAGTGTTGTTGCCTTCTTATTAGATCAGATATAGGTCATCAGTTTTGTAAACCATAAGTATGTTATGTTGTAATATAAACCGTATATAAATTCAGTAATCGCTTTTTTTTATAGAATATTATATAATTAACAATATCGTTCTTTTTGACATCCCTAAATTTATTACAGTGTCCAAAGTTAAATTTTGCTCAATATTTTTTTTTATTTAAAGTTTAATTTATTTCTAATAACCCCTAATTGTGAACTTCAATTCATTTGTACTATACTTACACAATTTTGTGAATAATATTATATATTGTGAACAATATATGTTATAAAATATATGTAATAATAAAGAAAGTTAAGAAATATGAAAGAACCCATTGAGCCAAGCAGAGAAGATTGTTGTAACAGTGGTTGCAATCCATGTATATTTGATATATATGAAAAACAATTAGCGGCTTATAAAAATTATCAAGAAACAGGCGAGAAATCTGATGACATATATGATAACACCTGCAATGCCATCTCACAGTTGGAATACACATCATTCATTGTTACGTCAAATACTGAAATATGTCTTGAACATAATCTCATTTTGTTTAAAATAAAAAATAATGTGGATAATTTAAAAGTATTATGGAATCCAGGAGATCATTTACTTGTGAAATGTAGTACTGGGCCATGCACCAGAGCATATACCCCTGTAAAATTAAAACTAATAAACCAAGAGTATTTTGATTTCTCTGTAATAGTGAAACGATATACATCAGGCATAGTTTCAAATTATTTATGTGATTTAAAATCTGGAGATGAAACTTTATGGCGAGGTCCATATGGTTGCTATGAAATAACTCCTAATAAATTTAGTAGAATTATAATGGTTGCTCAAGGCACTGGCATATTGCCTTTTATTTCTATTATCCAACAAATTTTATGTGATGAAGATGACTTGACAAAATTAGTACTGTATTATTGCTGCCAAAGTATAGATTGTGTACTGTTCAGAGATAATCTTTATTCATATAAGTCTTATTGGAATTTTACATATCAAATATTCATGAATAATGTACGGGAAGAGGCCTGTTACAAGTATCAGGAACCAATTACATGTCATAAATTGCAATTTGATGATGTAATTAAACTAAAACCATTTTCAATTAACGATCAGTTTTTGATATGTGGTTCACCAGAGTTCATGAAATACTATGAAAAATTTCTAAGAGATAAAAATGGCTTTATGGGAAATATTGTTTTATTTTAAATGTAACTCATACTGATCTTCATCTGATGTCTTGATAAACTACTTTTGTGCAACTATGAGACTGTTTTTACTGGCACCGTACCATGCAGGTCCATTGTCACTTCAAATTATTCATCAGATCAACTTAGTACTTGTAGTTTGACTAACTACAAGCACGTTTTAGAGCTCTCTAGTTGCTTGGAGTTTCATTGTACATGATCTTAGAGAAATTGTTAGCAATGTATACTGATAATGATTTACCAGTTATATTATTATTTCAAATAGTTATTTGTAAATTTATTTTTATTTAATCCAGAATTATTAGTACATGGCCATGCTCTTACCACCTAGCATAACAAAATAAATTGTAACCAGTTTCCAGTATACACAGTACTTTAAGTTTTAAAGTTAAATACCCCAATAATATAGATGCTATAGTCACCTATGTTACTTTTAATCTATACATATAAATAAAATTGGAGTATCTGTTTGTAATATTGAAATAACCATTTTTTACTACATGCCTATGAATATAAATACAGTATATAAACCAAAATAACATTTTTTACCATTTTTGTCTGTCTGTTTAATCTGTTCTGGCTAATCTCTGAAATGACTGGACCAATTATGATTGACGGGACTTTTATTGACAGTTAGTTGATGTAACGAAGAGTAACTTAGGCTACTTTTAGTTTACAAAATGTTTCTAATTAACTTTTTTGTTAAATTCCACGGGGATGAAGTCGCGGGTACAGCTAGTTAATAATAAGAACATAACACATTTCATAGGCCTCCTGTAAATTACGTCACTAAATATCTAATCCTTATCTAATCGTCAATTAATTTACTACATTTGTAAGACCGCTTACTAGAGTAAAAAACACGTAATTCTATTAAACAGCATCTCCAAAATTGGATAATGGAGGCAGAAGCGAAGCGTGCCTTGGCGGGGCCCCATATAAATATTTGTTTGAGAACCCTTACGAAGGGTAAAGATTTCTCACAAAATAATAGAAACTTGCATAAAATTAAAATAAATAAATATCTGTCACTTTTTCCAATTATATTACAAACAAATCAAATTAGATATACACTCTCCTTGCCTTTTTTTCGGCAAACTGATTTATTAAATAATTAACAGCTTAAGCGGGAAAAAAAGAAATAGCATCCTTTTACTTTTATCATTTGTGAAATAAAAATGTGATATTATAATGGATGTCTAATATAATGTGATGTTGACGCAATTTCGCCCTACTACAATCTATACAGAGATACTAAACTACACCATATACCCGCCGATCCATCCCCCGGTCAGTTCAAACTGGGATCGAATTTATGATTTATAATGGAATGCTGCACCCGCCTTCGCTAACGGTTTACGCTGGTGGGACACCAGTGGATAGATGATATCAGTGAGCATGAGGTCAGGTCAGTTAGACAATCGTGACAAATTCACTAAGAATTTGTCACGATAATGTCCAGGAGGAGCCGCGTGAAGGTGAACCTGGCATGGTACGCTGCTAGCAGTAAGATGATTACAGTCCACATTACTAACAATCCTCTTTCCCCCCTGAGCCCAAGTTCAAAGCCTTTAGCGGTGCCCTCAGGCTAGTTTTAGTCTGGGCAGGAGTATGTTCCGTTGGCCTTCAGTCGCTCCAGAAGTATTTTTAAGGGTTTGGAGTGCCATCTAAAAAACTAGCTCCGTATTGTTAGGTGAGGCTGTATAAGCCAACTGCGAACAATAGCTTTACAATGTTTGAAAAATAAGTCCACACCATCTCTATCCTCCCCACTCTAATATGTAAATAACATAATTTACGAATGGTTTTTAAAAAGCATTTAACGTAATAAGTTACATGATTTTGTAGTTAGTGTAACTGATAATTTTTTTTGTTATAATATTTCGCTTCTAATTGTTCACTACTTTTCAATAAATACAAATTTTCTCTATTATCGTTTGTGGCAACACTTTAGCGCGGTATGGATTTTTTCGCGCCGGCGCGAAACGTGTCCGTAGTCCGTAGCATACGTAGGTCCGCACCGACTTTTATATTTTCGTGTATCGTAAATATATAATGATAAAATATGAATCCTGACCTAATTATATTCTATATCGGTTTTTTAGCTACTTTATTGTGTGTGTAATATAGTTACTATGCCAAACAATCTACAAAAATACAAGATGCGTAAAGACGTTTAATTCAGTGCCGAATTTACTATAGAGCGCTTGTAAAAATGGGCTCTATCGTGTTAAAAAGTTTATCCATCCTTTTAGGGATATTCTTTATATTCGTTGGTATAACGAAATTGACACCATTTATTTCTAAGGAATTACACAAAGATTTGGTGAGTTTCTTTGGATATTATTGAGCATTTGAAAGTAGACAAATAGGTTTAAGGTCGCTAGATGCATTGAGATTTTTGTTGCGCAGCGACGAATCTTGCTATTTTAGTATTTGGCGTGTCGCCTAATACCACTGCGGTCTTATCTCATTGGGACAGTTGATTCGATGCTGTGGGAGTCTCTCTCAAAAATGTCTGTCACTTATTAATAACTAGTTCTTACTCGCAACATCGTTTGCGAGACCTAGACATTGATTGATCGGGATGAAATGTAGCATAGTCCTTTTCCATGTCAATCAAAGAGTCCGTGTATGGCAAATTTTAGGACAATATCTTAATTTCTTACAAAATAAATATATTTCCTTAACATGCGTACCGAAGTTTGGATGCATGGGAATATAAATGAATGTTTGTTGCTCTTTTACGCAAAACCCTACTGTAATATAGTATATATGAGAGTGGGGCTATAATTAAGATATTGTGATGACCATGTGTATGTAATATGCTTAACTAAAATGTACTTTTATCGGTTATGGTATTTAATTTATCTAAATTTCGTTTTTGATACTAACTATAAGTATATAATTTGAACAAAATGATCAATAATTTGAAATTACGACAATGGTAAACACGCCCATTGTGTGTGTGACATAAACGCGGGCTGAGTGGGGCAGACGCGTGAGGATATTCATTTTGCGACGAATATAACAAAGCTGTGGTACCATGCGCGATGTGGGCAATTAATATGCCACATATATTAATACATATCATAAAGCATAGCAAATGCATCACGAGTACGGACATAAGCTATTATCTAAACAAAAGTAGACGAATTCACAGGATACAACTAGTATAAAATATTAGTAAGTAGTAATTACCTACTTCTCCTGTAAGGTCTAATTATAATTGCTGTGGTTATGTTATTGGGTACTTGATATAAAATTTTAAAGTAAGAGAATTTTAGAGTACTTACAATAACTGTAGTTTTTTATTATTTATAGTTAAATAATAAAAAAAAATCTGCAGTTATTGTATCAAATAAGAATATGACCCATCTGATGGTAAACAGCTACCGTAATATATGGACGGATATAATACCAAGGGTATTACGTGCACGTTGTCTTCTCTTAATAAATTTTAATATTAAACCGTTTAGATAAAAACTAAGGCTGTTATCTCTAGAGAAACCCTCTGCAGGTATATAGTTGATTCCACAATATTAATACGCTGCTACGCGTGAAAGTCCTTTTTTTCGGACTATTCTAATACTGTTGGCCGCAGCTGACCTTTACAGCTTCACCGGACGATAGGGGGTGAGTGCAGGTGGCATTCCAAACACGCGGAAGGACTTATGGAGCGGCTGAAGATCTACTCCCACCTGACGGATAAGATTTTAGTCTGAGGGCACCGCTAGGGATTTGAACCTCGGCTCAGGCCATCGTAATTTCGATCCCCGTTTCAATTGGACGGAAGATCGATCGGAGGGGGTGAAACTCCTATGACTACACTAAAATAAAAGTAAAATACCTGTATTTTTCAAAGACCAATTTTATTTTCAGCGAAAAGAATACGTCAGGTACGCTAAAGTTTTCCCGCTATCGGAGACTTTAGATTTCAAGTTACCATCAAAATGGTACAGAAGAACCGTAGGAGGACTAGAAATATTATTTGGCTTAGCACTGGCAATTATACCAAGTCGTAAGTCACACATTTGATTAAAAAAACAACCAAGTTACAAAACCTATATTTATCTGTGTTATTATTTAAAGTTAAAAAAAACAGAGTGACTCGCCGAGGATGTGAGTAGTTTTTAGCATAGCACGCGATCAACTTTTTCAATTGTTTATTTTGCTCATTGAATGTAGTATTATTTTCATTTAATTTGAAAATATTAATAGTCATGATAATAACAAATGTTATCTTCACGACGATTTTTAAAGTGAGAGTAAACTGAGTATGTATTAGCTTTGTTGCTTTATTTTCTTTCATAACACGTACCTAACGTCAAATACAATTTTTGTTAATTGATAAAACAATAAATAAAAAAACTATTATCAGTTTACAAATAAAACATTATACTTGTACAAAGTTTTATGCTCATCTATAATAGTTATTAATAGTAATATACTTATAATTTCAGATAAGGTGAAAAATGCGGCGAATATAGGCCTAGTGCTGCTAATGATTTTAGCCGCGTACTCACATGTCATGGTGGGTGATCCGTTCGATCGGTGTGCGCCAGCATTGGTGTTCTTCTTCATGCTTAGTGGGAGACTTGTTGTTTGGTGAGTGCTTATTCATTTATCTATATACATATAATAATAATAATCTCAGGACAATTCACACAGCACCATCTAGACCCAAGTTAAGCTAGCTAAAGCTTGTGTTATGGGTACTAGATAACTGATACAAATACATAGATATTTTTTTTCGTAAATACATACTTAATATACATAGAAAACACCCAGACCGACACAAACAATCATACTCATGAATACAAATGTTTGTGCCGTGCGAGGAATCGAACCCGCGACCATCGGACGTAAAGCGGTGTGTTAGACCGCTAGACCACCGAGGTCGTCAATATAAAAATAATCCCTATTTCCCCACTCGAAAGGCTAAACCGATTTCATTAGTTCTTTTTTTTGGGTTTGTTACTATCAAGAAGTTCGTATGAAAGAGAATATTACCAAAATACTGTTTTTTTTTTATTTACTAATACGAATCAATATTTATAGTTTATATCATTAAGATAGGACAACACTTGTCGAGTCAGTTAATTGCATATAAAACATGTAATTGCTACTTTTAAGGAGTAGATAAAACATGCCGTATTACCACGCGTGATTGACAAAACGAATGTGTCTGTTCGAACCAAGAAATACCATATCGCAGTACTACAGGACTAAACATCTACTTATAAAAAAATATGTCATAAACAAAATCACTCAATAAAAAAAGTTCCGCACTAAAAATCTTTGTTGATTTATAATAATAAACCATTACGACTGTTATTCTCGATGGGGTGGTAACAAGGCATTGTCTACTGATGATGTATGTTCACATGATACTGGATATAATAGAAATGGAATCCAACCTGCCAGAGTGCGAGCGACCGCATTGTTTTTTTATCAGTGTTTATATCACCGGAGGGTCAAACATACAATCATAAACAACTAAAGAGCTACAAAAATTATTAATATAGGTAAAGGCTTAACAGGAACCCTAGTCTGTGTATTATGTATTGTAAATTGTTGTATGATGGGTTTGGCATATTCCTCGGAGTAAACCTCTATATTTACATATATAAGATTAAAAAAATAAAAATTAACTCATTTCACGTTAATTTGATTAAAATGGTTTCACTGACTTATTTATTTAGCAAATAAAACGAACGTCTGTATATTTATTGCTGTCTAGTTATTCGTTGGTCATACTTACCTATGTTTTCCTGGTAACGGATAAATAAGCCCAAGACATCAAACGTTTTTAAAAAAAAATGTGGTGATGCCAACTCATCTAACAATTTTTGGACGAAACCATAAACACTAAAATATCCCGGTCTGCTCACATAAACATAATAATTATATTATTGAAATGTCCTTTCGCCCTCTATTTTAGACGTTTCTTTCAGCAGTAGATCCTATCGCGTACCTATACATGACTTATTTAGTTATCTATAGAACCTCTCGGCATTTATCTCTTGTTTCTTGATATATGGTACTGGGACTCTGTTTGACTATATTGAGAAACTTTTTACAGCAAACGCTCTCTATACATGTTGGGGAATAAGATAATCTTTTCTAACAGTACGTACCTACATTCCGATATGCAATACCTACCTGACATCATAATATAAAATTAATGTATAAAATATAAAGACTGTAAATATGGCTCCGTGCCAAAAAATACAATTTGACGGTGAAGCATCTTGTACCTAGTCTTGTCATACAAATATGTAGATGTAATACGTATTACAGCTATAAGAATATATTTTTATTATTTGATAATCTGAGATTGGTATTCTCGATGATTCTATAGTTGATTGGAATGTAATTTTAAACATCGTAAAGTTCTGCGTAAGAGCGTATAACAAACGGAACTGACGCAATTAGCAATATTCTGAAAATTCAGCAATAGTTGGCTTATGAATCAGATTTTTAAAAGTTTCACGCTCAATCGATTTTAATAATCAAATTCTATTTCGAAACGGATCAAATACCTTGGAAAAGTTGTTCAAAATTACTTAGAACAACATATATTAGATTATACCTATTTATTCTACAGGGGGAGCTACCTTTATTCAGAATAATTTAATTTCTGGTTTTTAACAAACTGTTTTTAGAATTGACAATAGCGATGGCTTGGTACTACATTTACAACCGTAGGTATGCTATGCAATAACAATAGTATATTTTTGTGACAGGGATATGGTTTGAAAGGTTTGAATTAGATGTTCTATAAAAACTGCTATAAAATAATAACGTTGAATTTGAGCTTATCTCAATCATTAGTGTTTGAAATTACAGTCATAGAGACAACATAATACGTACATATAAAATAATGTTGAAGTTATCTTTAAAAGATTTATTATTGAACTCTGTCTTGTTTACTATCTTCAGGTACCAAACAAGTCGTCGGGAAGAACTAGAGAAGACGGCAGCTACACAGAATGGAAACGGCCTCAAACGAGAATAAGCAATAATAGTGATTAAGACTCACAGACATAGATAAACTTTTCTTTTGGAATATGTTTCTCTGAAATATGTCCGAATTTAATGTATTACGTTAGCATACAAGTATTTGGAAGGTAAATTTCAAACTTAGGGTATAGATTTTTTTACCAAAATGTTTCATATTAAATATGTAGACTACTTTAGTAGTCTAGATATGATTGCACATATATTTCAGTGAACGAATGTTCAAAATAAATTATTTGATCCATAAATAATGTTATTCAATATCGATTAAACGCCTGTTTTAATAAGTATACAGTACTTTTATAAATTCATACAATTTTATAATTATAGAATCTAGGCACATATGTATATAAAAACGTACACTTCTATCGATAGAATTACACTATTTGTAACGATTTTATATTAAAAAATAACACATTACTGTGATTTTACTAGTCAGCTTATAAATCAACACTTATTTATTTTACATTAGACGGCTTGTATGTTATATGTTTGAAAATCGATTTAGGCGCGTAACATCTGGTTCTAATCTATAATTAGAATAGCTATGAACCAAATAAAATACCGATTTAGAGTATATGCCGTGTGTACGCGCCTCGTGAGAACGCGGAACTTACCTAAAGTGATATTAATTTAAGCGACACGTGCTAGGTTCATTTTGTATGTGGTGTGTAATGTGCATAATTGTAAGTCCATGATTAACTGTCATTGTATATTGGTAGGTTTAGATTCTTTAGGGGTATAAACTTATATATAAGCACTTTCAAATATATTGAATATCTTTTGTAGCACTATATTTGACAGTACAATATACCCCTTATGCACAAATTAGATAAAAATGCATTGTAAAATTGTGGTGAATATTATTTGCTCAAAATTACGTATAAAATTTACCGATTAATGGCTTATTTTGTTAATTAACAATATTCATTAATCATAGTACGATAATGCAGGGGTACCCAAAACCGTGTGTTGCCACAATTAAAATATTGTGTTTCATTATTTGTATAGCCTGCAAACTGGTACGACCAAACGTAAAGTTTGGGAACCTCTGCATAACTGCATTGCACAAGTATCTCATCTCAATTTAAGATATTGCAAAGACGATATTGTAAGTACGTACTTTACATTGAAGCTTTATTTAATTTTGTTTTTTAATATTACAAAATAGCAATACATTTTTACTACATAGAATTAATATTGAAATCATTGTTAACGTGTGATGTGTGAAATGTGAGTTAATTGAAGTTTAATCTGATGGTTAAGGAATAAATGATGAATATAAGTTTGTATTTTATTTTGTAGCTTATTTAAATATTTTCTAGGTTATATGAATAATAGTAAAGTGGTTTAATAAATGGCTATCAAAGAAGATTAAATAAATCTGTTATAAAGTATATTGAATGCTGCCAAAACTGTTACAATTTATTTCACGGTAAAAGTCTCAACCTAATGATAAAGAGGGCAATGTCAATTTTAAAATGACAACAAATAAACGACAGGTAATTAAAGCGATGCCAACTAGTCTCTGCTCTAGCTCTATATAATTGTTAGAGACGTACGTGTTGTCTTCTAATACTAATAATTAGAAGATATTCTAATCCCAGAAAACGCGAGATTTATAACGTATTCCTGAAATCCTATACTATGTTATTGGCATATTATAGTTGAAATTAGTAACTAAGGGTTTATAAATTCTTTTTAAGTAGCAAAAGATAACATTTATTGAATAAACATTATGGTTACTAAATAGTCTATGGCAGAACTCTGGGAGTTGTGCATGTTGTACGGCTTATGGGTTCAGCTTTAGAAATTATTAGAAGTATAAGTATTAAGTATACTACTTTGTAAATAATTAATTACGAAAATGCCTTTGATATAGATTTACTTGAATAGCTAAGATACAGAGAACACACAGATTACTATAAATAATTTTATTGTAGATAAGCTTTCGTACACAATACAGATCACGTGAGTTAATAATATAAGAAAATAATAAACGATGTAATAAATCTAATGATTTATGACACGAAACCCTAATGTAATAATGATCTATTTCCATGTTTTGTTACGTTCAAATTATTATTATAATTATTAATAACCACTGTTACATTATGGATGTGTAATTAAATACAACATGCCACTTGTACCTTAATTGATGAAGTAAAAGAAAAAATACTGTTCAGTCAATACATACAAAAAAAAGTTATATATTATAAATTGCTTTAGCGTACTCTATATTTATTTATGTCTGTGCAGTTAAATTTATAGATTAATATTTATAATAGTTATTAAATATCATTAATAATCCATTAATGTACTATTAACATCTCGCCCAATAGCGGGTGTATACTGATATTACTCTAATGTTATCACATTGGCCAGGCCACTTGGTATAGGGGTTGTTTTTCTTTGCAAGCATTGATCGTAGTCACTGCTTATTTTCCACAACAAAATAAATTTGTTACGTTATTTAAATTCAAACGGTAATTGGAAGCAATTAAAGCTTAATTTCATTTATAAATCTAGACATGGTGATGATGGTCACAGTTTCGATCCTACATAATAAAAACTATATATAACTAACTTATTATTAATTGTTCTTCATAAGTCCTTTTCAAGAAAATGTATTTATGTATGTTTATGAATTGTTTTATGCCTGTAATAAAATATGTTTGTTTCAAACTTCGAGTTACGTAATCTGTAATTGTACAGATTACGTAATTTTCTGTTATTTTAAAAATCGATTAATAACGTAAAGAGAAAATAATTGATCATTATTTATAAACTAATAATTATTGTAAACATTTATATAAAACATAAATAAAAATGGTGTAAACATAACATGTAACTATGAGATTAGCGCTGCAACTGTCAATATTTAAGCAGGATCATGACCAGTTTGCAGCAACTCTAAAGCATTCCTCAGATTGTTGATTGCTGTTTTCACATCATCATAATTCAATGCACTGCTAGCCCACTTACAATATTTCTGAGCTTTAGCTATTTGGTCTGGTGTAAGCTGAGCTACGAAGGAAGTATTGTCACCATATAATGCACTGGGTTGTGGTGGTTGGGGCTGTTCAGATGGATCATAAGGTACAAACCCACCTGGATTAGGATCTGGAGTATATGGAACAGGTGGCAATTGTGAAGCTGCTCTCATTGCTGTATTAGGATCGGGTAGACTATTATTGAAGTTAGATGGCATGATAGGTAAAGTTGCTGGTGTCACTGGTAGAAAACCAGGCACTTGAGGAGTAGTTGTAGTGTCTTGGCTGTTGTCTGCTGAACCTTCATTAGTTTGGTCACCATCCTCAGACTGCATGGGACCTAAAACATAATATTACTATACTTTACTAAATGAGATAAAATCAACTATTTTAGCTAGGAAACATAGTGAAATTGTTTGTTTTAAAACACAAGCTACTTAAAAAGGAACTGAATGTTAAAAGGTTTTGGATAAGTTCAGGCATAGTGGGACTTATGTACAGTGTATTACTTTAGCATTACATTGCATTACCATCTTAGCAAGACAAAGAAAGAAATAACTAAACTGTAGTATATATTCTAACATGATATAGGAGGAAAATACCTGGAACTGGAGTCTCTCCATTCTTAAGGCAATTATGAATGTAAGCAGCTTTCCACTTAGCATATTTTCTGTTCTGTGTTGCTTCATCAGTCAACTCTCCAAATGTAGTAAGAACATCATAAATCATTCCAGCAGTATAGAATGCCTTTACAACATTCCTGAAAAATGTAATCAAAATATAAGCAAGCACATTAATTATTAGCTTTCTGTGAGGATTGTGTAAGAATATACAGTGATGAGAGCTTAAGAGGTCTGAGGTAGACAAAACTGTACATATTTATACTTACTTACTCATAGTAACCAATAATTTATGTGAATAATATTACAATGTATGGTAAAAACATATTTTCTACAACTATACATACTTGCCATAGTTTTGCTCTCTGTCTTGTTTATCAGCATACATAAATAATTTCAGAGCATAGTTTTCAAGGTGAGCCTGAGCTGCAACTTCATTACTAACTGCTTCATTGTCCTTGTTGATTTTCTTGGCTTCTTCCAACCAGTCCATAAGTGCTAAAATAGTGTTTTACAATGCAATCAAAAAAATATTTTAATATACACCGTATACTATATATATTCAGATAGAATACCTGTTATAAAGTTTTATTATTAACTTGATATAAAAAAGATAGTAAATTCTATATAAAATGAACAATAGAGCTGGAGGAAAGAAGTTAAATACATATTATTGAAGATGGCGAATTATGCTAAGTTTAATTTAATTAATGCTAAATTTAATTTAAAAAATATAGACAATCATTTCATTATTGTCTATATTTTTAAATTAAATAATCATAACACATGGACTTCCAACAGTTTCTAGTCTTTACACTTCAGTCCAAGAGGACTCCTTCCTTTATATTGTACATATATTGAATAAAATATATTAAAAAGTATAAAATCACAATGCCAAAAACATTATGGTTATAAAGAGTAACATAAGTGAAGTAATATTTAAGTTTATTTATGTTCATAGACGGGAGCAGCTTGACTAGCTGTTGCCACAAACACAAATTTTCAAATTGAGAAAGACATTCTACTTTTTTAAATTGGATGAAAATGATGATGACATTAGTTCAGTAATTTCTAGTTTTTCTATATTTTTTTAAATCCAAATATTTTTTAATGTATGTATTTAAAAAAAATAGAAAAATGTAATAACTGAAATGGTAAAACCATATTTCAAAATTGGGTTGAATATATTAAAAATTGAATTACACAATTACTTGGTAAATCCATTTTACTTTCTCTTAATTTCATAAAAATATTTTTGAACTCACCCATTAGAACTTTAGTTTCTTCTGGTGTTTTTTTGGAAGTGAGTTTAAGGCCAACTTGTAAAGCATGTAGTCTACACCAATAAGCAACAACGGGATCTCTTGTGTCATGTTCAGCTGCGGTCTTCAGATAGTGTTGGATTGATTTTAAGCTAGGGGGACATTCGGGTATTTCGTTCGACATGTTTGTTAAAATTTTAATCCGATCACAATAATATAGTCTTATGAATTGTTCAAAAAAACATTATATTTCATATGACAGTGGACGAAGAACACAATAACAGATATGAGCAATCCAGAAATCTTAAAACACCAGGTAGCAGTAGCACACGAGAAACATTTGTTACCAGCATAGGACGTTAATAAATAACTATGTATTGAGAACTAAAATATTATTACTTTCTTAAAATCACTAAAATGGTATATAAATTATAAATACGTAGAAGGATACTCTGATATACTACAATAATATGTATATTGTATGAGTAATTGTGAAATAATATGCCTGCGACATTTCAATCATTTGTCAATTAAAGTGTCAGTGCTGAAAAATACAGATGACAATACAACTGTGTTAGATGTCAGTCAGAATTTTTAACAAATAATGATTCATGTAGACATGGCTGTATGGGCGCAGTTCCTTTTGCCTTTACGTTAAAGGATACAAAGAGATGTGAGTCAACTGTTGGACATGTGTCTCTTCCAAGGGATTCCACTGCGCACGATCTTCAGCCCTTCTCGTACAATTAGTATCCGCTACGCTACATATTCTCATAGTTTTTAATTATAATATCGAATATATTACGTCTTTTTGTTCTAAATCGTTTATTTAGTAATATCTTATCTGTGGGGAAAATGTTTATTCATGTTCAATAATACATTTCTAGCACATAGGGAGGTAGAGGTTTAGGCATACCCTATTACTCTGACATGGGTCATATGGGACTCTTGGGGAACGGACTTTAATCCTACAAACTATTGAAGATAACTAACTAGTACTTAAATCCAAGGACAACATTACATTACAGATGGCTTATATAAAATTTATAACTTAAGACTCGAAATATACTAATATACTTTAAGACTTGAATTATACAAAGGAATTTCTGTTCTTTTTTTGGTTCGTTTAAGGTAATAAAGACAAATTAATGAATGACAGGCATATTGACGTTATATTCATGAGTGACATTGACAGTCTATTTAAATAACATAAAAAAATATTTAATCATAACATTTCTTGCTTCTAAGAAATATATAAAATAATAATAATTTAAAGAACAGTATAAAAGTTGTTAGTTACACAAAATTTTGGTATCATAATCCAAAATGCCATCCAAACAAAGAAAAATCGCCATGATGGGTTATAGATCTGTTGGTAATAAAATACAGGAACCAAACTATTGTGCGTTGTATTCATTGTGACTTTTCTTAAATGTACGTAATGTTTTCAGGTAAATCTTCTTTAATTATACAATTTGTAGAAGGACAGTTCGTCGATTCGTACGACCCAACTATTGAAAACAGTAGGTATTACGTTTTCATATACTTTGAGTAAACTATTGTAGAAATATTAAATTCAGCAATTGGTATTCTTCCCTAATGTGAGTTTGATCTGTTGTTTCAGCATTCACAAAATTTATCCGCCTTAATTCTACGGAATATGAAGTGAAGTTGGTTGATACTGCGGGCCAAGATGAATACAGTATATTTCCACTTCAGTATAGCATGGATTTCCATGGTTATGTACTAGTGTACTCTATAACCTCAAGTAGAAGTTTTCAAATAGTACAAATTATATATGACAAATTGCTAGATATGGTTGGAAAAATACAGTAAGTATTATGCATTAAACCATAAATACACCGTTTGAATGTCTAAAATTGATTTAAAATTATAGGTACTTTTCATTTCCTGTTAATAACAAATACCATTTTGGAGATCACCAATAATTATAGGTTGCATTAAAATATAGGTTTAAAAAGCTCTTTATCTTTACATTATTGAATATTTAAAAAAAATTGTATTTTTTAACATCTTGTAATAATAAAAAACTAGCAAAAACTGAGTTAATGAGACAACAATAATAATAATAAAGGCTTTATACAGATATTAGTTATTTACATTTCCTACCATATGGTAGCCAAAACAGACATAGGTATATATCTGTTTGCTAACAAGCATAGACCTCTTCCAACTGTCTCCAGTGGTCTCTATTGTTAGCAGTTCTTGTCCAAGTACCATGTGCCACCACTTTGATATCATCTATACATCTTCTGTATGATCTTTCTCTTTCCCTTTTCATATGTTTTGTGTATCAATGCTTTATTGCTTTACTTCATTTATCTTATGATATGTCCCGCCCAATTCCATTTAATTTTTCTGTATATTTTATTGTTGTTTTTATCATTTTTCTCCCATCATACTTCTTTCCATGTTTTTCTGGCAAACCTGTAGTTTTTTTTGATGGAATTCAGTAAGGGCCCAGGTTTGACAGCCATAAAGAAGAGCAGGTACGATATATGTGTCAAAAAGCTCACATTTTGTATTCATTTTAGTTTCTTTATTTTTAATTAGTGTCTTACACTCCAAAACCATTTCCAGGCATATATCAATCTCTATTGTGTATAGATTTGTCCTAAATATAGATATTCTAAGCATTCTTTAATTAAATAGATTCATTCCTTGACTTTATTACAGTTTTAAGATTTATTTGCACACAATAAGTTGTGATTTACATTAATACTTAATGTTACAGTGATATCAGCAGGCAGTTGTGTAATATGACTTTTTTTTAGTAGACAATCAAATATTGCCCTTACAATTAATAATAGTGTTAAATTTCAGTAAACATTTTTTTTTTTATTTTATTTTATTTGGGATACAAACAGTTTCACAATGTAGTATGTATTTAAGTACATGAATTAATAATAGTAAAACCAATACAGATATCCACGGGGTTTAGGTAGGTAACATTAATAGGTATTTATTTGATAAATAATATTTTAAAATCATTGTCATATACATCACATATCTCTTTTACTCATTTAGATAGCAGTAGCTATTTGAAATAAAAAATCAACTGAACACTTTATAACCAGTTATAATAAATTTAAATATATGACTTAACAAATCGCCAGTTACATAGAAAAATGGCACTATTCAAATATACATTTTTTACAAGATAAACATTTTAAATTATTATTATTTTTCCTTTAAAGTTTTAACAAAAATTTACACAGTAGTTATATAATTTTTTTGTTACTACCACTACTACTGAAAAGTTTTAGTACTTGTACAACTAATTTATATTTAATACTGTAGTACAAAAGTTTGTCAGTAAAAATTATCATTTTTATTTATATAGAATAGAAAATCCTTTATTCTAAAGTGTTTAAATTAAATAAATTTAATAGTCATAACTATTTTTTTAATCTACCGCTCGTTCGAAAGCTCTCATCACAAGATGAATGAGCAAGAAACTTGTTTTTTGTTGGTCATTTAAATATATAATTATACCATTATTTATACCTGTTTGAAATTGTGTTTTCAGTGTACCTATAGTTTTAGTTGGTAACAAAACAGATCTTCATTTAGAACGTAAAATAAGCACTGAAGAGGGTAAAAGACTTGCTGAGAAGTGGAAAGCAGCTTTTGTCGAGACTAGTGCTAAACGCAATGAGGTAACTTATATTTCAAATGTACTGTAAATCTGAGTTATTCTAGTAATGGCTTTATCATTATAGTAGTTCCCCAACTCATGTTTGCCTAGGTTTTCATAACTCTGAGTTTTGTATCATGAAATATTTGAATTTATGTGATAGCCTATCGGTAAAGCACACCGCCATACTTTCGATAGTCGCAGGTTCGATTTCACGCACAGCACAAACATTTATAATCATGAGTATGATTGTTTGTATCAGTCTGGGTGTTCAATGTACATACAACATGTATGTATTTATGAAAAATTAGTAATATTAATATGGTCAATTCCAACTCTTCAAATCACATATCAATTGATATGTGATTGAAGAGTTTTTCTAAATTGATCAACCGAGAAACAAATCCAATATCTCATTTAAATATAGTTCTGGCCTTACCACTGTTCCAATGGCATAATTAAGACATGTTTAATTAATTAATTAATATTTATGATTTCAGTCAGTCACAGACATGTTCCATGCCATATTATCAGAAATAGAGAGGTCGGATGGACATATGCCAGAAAAAAATTCTTGTGTTATTTGTTAATGCACATCTCACAATGAAGAAAGGTTTTTTATGTTTAAGTTCAAGTGAAATAGATGCAATACATGCATATACACAGCTGTTTTGAAAGAAATATCTGTGAATGTTACAGACATTTCAAAAATGATTATATTCCTGCATTTTGTTAAGGTGGCGATTGCTTTGAACATTGTATGCTTAGGATTTTTGACGGCTTTCGACTGACATTTTACGGTTTATTGTAAACAAATTTATTACCTTCACATTTTTATTAATTTACAAAGATTTGGGTAAACTGTCTATCATATAAATCATATCCAAAGACATCATAGACTGTGATCAATAATAAATTGCAATATACTGTTCACAGTATTGTTGTTTACAGATAGAACAGCTTTTCAATATAGTTTCCGTATGAGTTTGATTTATTCATGACAAAGCAGACTGATGAATTATTTTTTTAAATAATTTTAGATTCAACGGCTATACTGAGTACTTTAACAAATAGTATGTCTTTACAATTTCAATGCAATCCCCACTTTTACATATAGAAATAATTAAATTATCGCGTTAATGTTTAAAATATGAAAGACATTTTTCAGTAATTAATACTTTCTTGTACTCAAACTTCACAGAAGAAATATAAACGTATTTAATCTTTTAATATTTTTCTGAACTTTTCATTGTTTTTGTTATCACTATAATGAATAGCATATTATCAATTGATCTTAATTAGCTTGACTGAAATAATATTGGAATAAAGTGTCATAAATATTATTTAAATTTCATATTCAGTCTTTGTATTGGGTCATTTTTTTCATTATAGACATCTATCATCTTGAGACTAATTAAAATTTACGGTTTATAGTCTTCATATATATAGTACAGTATAAAACATTATTAAAAATATATCAAGGCGGTCAATAAGTCTAACTCAAAGTAAAACATGGCCACAAATGCATGTCATCTCTACCAGTTTATAGCACCACCCAAAATCGACTGCAAATAAAAAATTGAGGTGGTCACTGTCGGAGTGATATGTTTCTTGTCAAATAATGTTGTTATTCTTGGAATAATAATTAACAAGTATCAATTACTGACAAAGTTCATGTTAAAGGATTGAAAAACTAAAAATATTTTTATTTATTATTAATTGCTACTATGGCTACGACTAGAGACTTGAGTAAGGCGCCTTTTTTTGTACGACCTGGCACTTTTCGTTTTGGTACAAAACACGTAAAACGTGTAAGTAAGCTCTCACTTAGTTACATGAATTCAATAAGGAATCTGTACAGGCTCAGTAGGTATAGAATCGGAAACGTGACCCGTTTAGGAACGCATAGCACTCTCATTTTCGAAATGTCTTCGTATATATACTAAGAAATATTAAAAATGTGGAATGATACTACAAAAAAAAATTACAAAAATGTGAAATTGACAGTCGTGTAGTAGAATGATTTTACGTTTCTTCTGGTAAGAATTATAGTTTACAAAATAGAATTCTTACCAGAAGAATTTGTTAACATACCTTGGGCGATAACGCCCTATTGTAGGTGCTGGAGATAGTTGGAGTTGATTAATAATTATGCTAATAATACAAAATCAGATTTAAGCTAATGCTCGAATCTTTAAATATATATATCAGATTGGTTTTATTACACAGACATAATTGTAGTTACATAGTAATCTAATGCTTTCAAAATGTTTTGTGAAGTATTTGATAGTCACAAGTGAATACAATTTTTATTTCAGAAGGATAAGACTAATATAATAACAATATACCGTTAGAGGCATTGTCAATTATATACATTGTGGTAAACGTAAAATATGACATGCCTTCATTTAGCTTGATTTATTTGAACCCATCAAGATGGGTTCAAATAAATCAATAATATATAAATAGATCAAGATCTATACCTGTTTCTCCGGTTAATTTTTGGTTTGTTATCAGTGTTTCTCTCGCCAAAGATTCAGTCAATAATACAAATTGACCGATTTTTTCGTCTCTCACCGTTGAACTCATGTTCTTATGGATATAAATCAATATTAAACCTGTTGCAAACGGCGGGGACGCTCTTGAGAAGGCCAAAAAGTCATCTTTATTATTATTCTGTACCAATCTATTACATACATTATATCATATAATGTATTATAATCATTTATAATAAATTTTATGATAAGCATAAAATACTTTGTCGATCATAATATGAAACCTACTTATTTTTTTTGTATTGAATGAATTGAGTTGTTATTCGTAATAGATTTGTAATAAAGAAAGTTATGTAAAATGTTCAAAATTTTGAACTTTATTTAGAAACATGGATGTCTGTAGTATATTTGCACCAATGCTTTCAGTTGTAAAAAATGTATAAAATTGTACATTTACTTATAGGTATATTTATTGTTTTAAGGTGGGATACATAAATAAATATTGCATTTAGTGTATATTGTTTTTGAGAATACTTAATGATTATGTTCTATAGATGTTATCGTGTTAAATTATACACACAATTCCTGCGTACATGTCTTGATTTGTGGTTTTCAGTGCGTGGTGGGTAAAAGTAGCTCATCCACACATGGCCCAAATGTAGAGCGTACGCTTAGTAGATGTAGAAATTGATAATGGCACGCTCTAGTTGATATAGGTTTGGTTGAGAATTTTCTCTCAGGTACATAGATACCAAATTTTAAAAAGCAATCTATTCTAAAAGCATCTATGCATTACATTATTTAGGACCCGAATTCTTAGGCAACCTGTTGAATGTTATAAATTAGCACATGTTTACTTAACCTGAATTGTTAGTGTTGAGTCTAATTAATTACTCATCAAATTATCTTATAGAAACCGAGAACAAATTATTCAATAGTTTAGTATAGATTGCTATAATTGTTTAGAAATATCACCCAACCTCGAACCAACAATTTGCTAACTGATTTAAATCCAAATGATGACTGTAGACACTTTCAAAGTATGAAATTGATATAGGTGATTAATGCTTAGAAAATGAAACCTTATTTGTTGCCTAAACTGAAATACATAATCCTTACTTGGTGCCAAGTGTTTTTATTAAAATCTGAGCTGTTTTTTGTGCGAACGACTACTCAATCACACATTGTTTTACCTGTATACGCAGCTAATTGCTTAGATATCAGATAAGTTTTAACTAATATGTAACATTATGATAATTTTTAACAGGTTCAGAGGTGTTATTAGCATATACCTAATATACAAAGAACCTTCAGAGTCTAGATAACCTGCTTTTATTAATAAGTTTAACATAAAGTGTGTATGAACAAATTTGCTAAGTGTGTACAAAATGTAAATTTTATTATGTCTTATTTACGGGTATTTTCATTGGTAATGGTACCTTTCATTCTCTGTTGTTGTAAGTCACTGTCTATATATAATATTTATATCTAATATTTACCTATCTACTGCTGATACATTTGAATCTAACAGATCCCTCTAATTTATTTTTATCGAAACAATAGCACGTAACTTAATATAATACGAGTAGAATTAAGAAAGTACCTAACTGTTGTTCTTCAAGACAATATTGATGTGCTAGATTAAATATCTTTATTGTGTGATTTACATTGAAACCAGTGTTTTTCAGTCTCCAGCTCAGTCTTTATAATTACTGACTTTATCGTAGTTTTAGCCTTATGGGGTTGCTGGAACGTTCGAATACAAAAAAATAACGAATAAAGCTGGCCACAGATATCCGGTAACAATAGGACGAACTGTGCCGACGTCATTTAATTGGTGCATTGGCTACTATGCCCCGCCCTCTTTTGGAATGAACCAATCGAATCGCGTCGTCAATACGGTTCGTCCGGACTGAACTAAACAAGTAAGCCTGAAAAGACATAGATACTGACTTCCTTTTGATGCTAGAGATCAGAGATTGTGTATCTACTAATTAAATATATTCGCTGTTAAGTTATTGCCCTATCTGTGTATACATATATTTATGGAAAAGAAGATTTAAGACATTTTGTAATGCGTAAAATGCATTTTTTCTGACATGACATAATTTAGTAAATAAGTGTATGAACGTTTTGATATCGCGTTAAATGCAAACAAATTCCGAGTCACTGCTCAACTTGTAATCCAAGGATAGTTTTTGAATGCGTTTCTACCAAAGTACCTAATTTTAAAAATATGTTTGAACGTTCATACATTTTCTAAAATTTACACGTTTTATACATGTTATAAAACATGTATATATGTGAATTATATATAAATAATATCATAAGTGTCTGGAACGCCAGGTGAGCAATAAACTAATGGTTTAATGCTTGCCTCATAGGTGTATACGGGCCTAAATAGATTATTATTCTTCCAATCTTCAAAAATTTGTTAACGGAGTTTCCATTATCGGAGAGTCACTCAGTCTTTGATATTTTAAAATACACTAAACGAAATTGGAAATCATCTTTGGTATAAAAACCTAACGACCCGATTATGTGACTCTGTATATACCATCCACTTCGTAGTTTCAGATAGTCATAGTCATATTTCATATAGCTTCATACATAGTCTTTAACGCGACAGTTTTATTCTGTGTTTAATGTGAATCGCTACCAAAAGAATTCCTATTTATTTACAATGTCAATATATTTATATATGAATCTATTATAGAATAGACCTTATTTCATCTTTAGTTTTATAATTTAAGTGTACTTTTAGAGTTATATTGTACTCGCATATATCCTAGCCAATTTGTAGCCGTTTGCCATAGCAAACGCTTTGGGTTTATTGTGTTTGCAATGCTGGCTTAATTCTGCATCTTTACTACATAGAATTCTATAAGTTTGACCATCTTAATTAGGGGTCATCCATACATGATTAAATTTCGTGTTTGAATACTAAAATTGATGTGCGCTGTCACAAAATTTAGTTCTTAGATTTGATGGTTTTTTTTTAGTTTCGTTTACGAAGTTTGTGACTCCTTTAAGCTCTTGTTCTACAATGTCACGCTTTGTTGACAAATGTGTGACGAAAATTTTGGATGTTCCCTAACTATATTGATTCTTGTGTAAACTGTTAACACATTTACAGCCAACTATCGCCGTGGTTGCCCAGCCTTAGAACTACATGCATTGGTTCTTATGCTACACCTTTATGAAGTCCATTTCCAGAGCTGAGATTTGGAAGTCATGTTGTAACATTTGTAACATGGGAGTTCAAAATTAGTGATGTATAATATGCTGTTTGAGACGATTTCTACAATTTGGCTTTGATATGTAATATTGTAAATAAGTGAACGCACAGCGTAATTGTATGTAATCGCATAGCGTATCTTTTGTAACTGTGCAATGTTATTTTATAAAGAAATTATGCCTACTTTAATGTTGTAAATACAAAATGCGTTACTTAAAATAAAATACTGCTAAAATGTGTTTGTACATTAATGCTTTTTATTTAAATAATTACAACTTTTAATATTCTGTTATCAACGTGTGACGAAATGATTGTATATTAAACACGTATTACTTGACCCTGATTGGACAGTTTAGGGTGGTATAGGAAATGTTCATGCTACCTATGGCCCATCATGACACTTATGTTAGTTATTACGCTAGTCCCGTATTCGCCCACATACCCTACTATTTAATTAACCGACTACAGATCGTACAGAATAGGTTTCTGCGTCGAGCCACCGGTGCGCCGTGGTTCGTTCGCAGCGTAGATCTCCACCGCGATCTTAATCTGCCCTCGATCTAGCAGTTTATGAAGGAAGCGTCTCGACGCTACTTCGACTCTGCCCAATCCCACCCTAACCCGCTTATAGTCAGTGCGGTCGACTACGCACCGAGGAGTAATATCCGACATACGCGACAACGTTGCCCGAGGCACGTTCTCATTGACCCCGACGACCCCATAACGGCAGGTAACCTTTTATCTCTTAAAGTACAAGCACATTAAAGTATTAAATTCCATATATACCTACCCGGTAATCGCACTACTGTACGTTTTTATATACTAGCATTCAAGCATACGGCTCATCTGATGGTATGTGTTTGCCTTGCAGAAAAAGTAGATGAAAAACAATACTGTCATGTTGACAGTTAGACGTGTAATGTCAACTGTCATGTTACGGCTGTCAACAAGTTTTATTGTTGTGAAAATGGCGACTACCGGAGTGGGTTTTCGGTGGCTAGATATATTAGAAAAGGAATTCGATAAGGCATGTGTCGAATTAGACACGTCTCTGTGTAAGTATTATAATTTCCCTACATGTGGTCATAATTTTTTTCAATGATTAAAGTGTTTTTTACATTATATTGTAGCAACACCAATATCAACGTAAAACCATTTATTTCTGAGAATAAATAGAGAGTTATTACTATTTGTATATAAAAAAATATTAAATTTTATATTAAAACCATTGAATATTTTACTTCCATGAAATGTTAGGTACACGAATTGAATAACCTATAATCATACACTTGATTGATTCAATGTTGTGTATGTAATCTCACTAGTCAGTTTTAAAATTATAGGGCTTTATCAGTGAAAATTAAAGACTGTTATTGACCGATCGTTGCGAGCTTCTTTTGCAGCATATTATACTTTTCAATTCTATGTATATACATTTAGGAAAGTTTTATATATGTCTTGATTTTGTCGATCATTGTTTTCATTGACTACTGGCTATTATTCATTAAATAAGTTCTGGTGAACTACATGTGTTAACTATTGTGGAGCCGTAAATGATATATCTAAGGTATCAATTGTCATTTACATATAGCAAAAGTAATTTAATTGACATTACCTTCGCAATATGTAAATGAGAATTTGTTATAAAGAATTTATCAATTATAATTGGCAATAAAAAATTCATAGTGGTTTTTAATTTCCTTAAAGCAGGTCTAATATGTTTGTTGACATGTTACTTCCATATTATCCTACTAGCTTCAATTGGATGTGGGTGTTCTTTTGTTTTTTTAATATGATTTCTAATTCACAAATTTAATAACATTCAATTCTATAATATAGTAATATCTAATTTTTTTAATTGACAAATAATTCATATGTGTTCCAACACTTATAATGCTATTTTAATAACTTGTAATATTATCAATTCCAGCTGAGTTGGAAACTGAAGAACCAGAGGTTGTATTCTCAGCCCGTCAGAAGATTGCTACACTCAGCTCATGCTTTGCACAACTTACACACAAGGCACTGACTATATTCCAGAACAGTGCTAAACTAGAGGTAAGTGAAATATTTTTTTCTATGTACGTAATGTATATTTTTGAAGTGATTTCAGTTTCAGGATGATAGAATAAAACTACAGAGTATCTGATTTTAATTATATCTTTTAGAGAAAAGTCATTGCAGTATAAATAATTAAAAAAAGAATAATTTATATACATACATATTTATATTTATATAAAATGAAATTAATGCGCTAACAAATAAACATATCTAATAATATATCTAGTATTTCAATTCATGTAATGAGTATTAGGAGTATTTGACCCATTTAGAGTAGTTGATAATACTATCAACTACTCTAAATGGGTCAAATACTCCTAATACTCATTACATGAATTGAAATACTAGATATATTATTATGTTGTATACACAACATCTATTGTTTTTTATCTATGTGTATGCACATGGTACTCATCAGAACCACTACCCCTTGCAATATCTTGATCTTCGTTACATTAAATATTGAGCAGGAGAATATAGAAGTATAATTTAGTTATACAACATCATCAACATGGTTTTAATTGAAAAATTATATTTGTGGTGGATAGTCCATTTGTGGAGGAAGGTTTTAAGCTATATAACATTATGCTATGGCCAATAGAAGTGGAGCTGCAATGAAAAATGTTGCAAAAGGTGGAGAAATGAAATGCAGACTAAGTTCTATGGGTCAACTAGTATCTAATATGTGAAGTGTGAAGTGAAATGAAACACTAAATTGTTATACACATTATATTAAAAATTAAGGTGTTGACACATCTTTCCATACTGGGCCACGATCATATGGGTGTTTGTGCAGATGCCTTCGATGTAATGGGCGTGCTGTCGGACTATCGGTTATCTGTTGCCCTCCTACTCCACTAAGTATTTTCTTATCCTCATCCATTATATCGCCGCCCCCGCCATCATCGTAATATCCCCTGTCTTGGTCTTCTTCCGCCCAGTCCATCTCTTCATCAGAGTCTTGTTCTCCCCTGTAACATAATAATAATTACATCGTTTTTTTTTTATGAAGGGTCTCAGTGCTACTACTTCTTCCTTTAGTAATTCTTTTCCCGCGTTACAATAATCTCAATCACATATTTTATATAACAGTGATGAATGGAAGAGAAAAACATATTACGCCGACCCCAAATAAATGGGATGAAGAAGAAGCAGATGATGACACATTTTATATAGCGCCATCTAGTACCAAGAGTAAGCAGAGCTTGTGTTATGGCTACTGTACTACTGATAGAAATATATAAATACTTTCATACAAATACATATGTAATATATGTACGAATATAATCTGCATATGAATACAAACAATCATATTCATGATAGTTTGCACAGTGCGACGATTCGAATCCGTGACCATCGGAAGTAGAACAATATGCTAAACTGTTAGATCGTAGGGCAGTCGACATTACGTGTCATCCTTAGTATTAACCAAATGAACCTAATTTAATTTATATTCAACTATCTACAGTAAGCTACACTTACGTTAAATGATTGTAAAATATCACTATAAAAACTTATGTGGTCACAAAATTATATACACTTATACTAGAAAGTATAATTAAAAATGAGCCGCACTGCAACTCTAGTAGTACTTCAAAATTTTCCTAAAAGAACCTAATATTTTCTGCTAGATATTATAGAAACGTTATAACTTTACAACGCCTCTAGAATAGCAGAAATGCAGTGAAATCTTTTAAATACAGATTGATATAGAATTATAAATAAATTGATATAGACTTCAACTAATTTAATTCATGTTTGGACAATGATGTCGCGTACTTGATTCCTTTAAGTTTGAGCAGAAGTCTATCAGCCGCCGCGGTGACTTCGGACGGAGACGCTGATTCGTCACCATCCTCGCTCATTCTACGTTCCAGCCGTTGAAGCGCCGCATCCGCACGATTAGTCAAATCCACGAATTTCTCAGTCAACTGTTGCAATTCATTCTCCTTCAGTGTTGTTTGTGATGCATTACGAAATACACTCTCGAGGCGACGGCAGGTGGTATCAGTCTGTAAAACAAAGAACTTGGTACTCGAGCGTTTCTCAAAGTCTACGCTCATATCATAAACGGACAGAATGCAAAGTGTATTCGTAGAGGGTAATATTTATTAGTCTTTTGGAATCTGTGGAGTCTTGATTTACCAGCTATTGTATTTTATATTTGCCATTTTTAAACTACATTGCCTTTCTGTAATTAATACATATTTGACACACTAACATAAATACACTATTCAAAACCCTGTATTTATAAGAAAGTATAGACGAATTCAATAGGTAAATTTGATCATAAGTAAGATTTCAGAACTAGGTCTAAGGTGAGGCCTACTCCATCCTTTCAGTGTAAGTCGTGATCGTTGTTAATGATTCGTAATAAATAATAAAAAATAAACCTGTGTTTGACGGGCTGAACTAAGTAGTTTTATAACTTTTGTATTATGGCTTCGCATTGTAACTTGTATATTTTGTAATTCATGGAATGTTGCCGCAGTCCTGTAAAATATATTAGTTTACTATAGAATTTTTTCAGCTATGAATAAAATTATCATAATCATAAATGCCGTAGAATCAAATTAAACATTTTAAAGAACGTAGTTTTAATATACGAAATAATATGAATAAAAACATTCATGCGGTTCAATGAGTAACTTACTTATTGATAAGTGAATCGATTAGTTTGTCCAGTACATCTGCTACATGATTGGGATCATCGAGCTGTACGCGTTGGCAAGAATCTGTGAATCGTTTTTGCGTATCTAGAACTTCTTGCATCTGAAATGTTAATTATATTTTTAAATTTAATTATCATATAAGGCGAATGAAAGCCTTGTAATAATCTTTCAATGCGTAAATTTTGTGACCTTCAAATCAATGTTATTAGTTTTATCTGTGACTCGTCTCATAAAACTGGCTTCCAAGTCAGCAATATTTAGCCTGCCCTCCCGTTGTCGTCTCGCCAGGGCTCTCAGTCCATCGGCTAGTTCACGACGAGTTACATTTACTAGGGATAACCCGTCTCGCATTAAAGATTCCATCACTAACCCCCGATGCCAAGTGTCCGCATAAGCACCGTGTACCTGTAACCCAAATTTATTTGTACTCTCATATTTGTAATTTTCCTTAAGTTATGGAAGCGTTTAAAGAATTCTATCTCACCTTATCTAACAATCGCTTGTGTATGTCAATTTGATTAGTCAGATTTTGGGCAACCTCTATAATCTTTGTTTGACCGCTTTCTATCTTTTGGCTGCTTTCTTTGATAGACGTCTAGAAGAAATATAAAAAAGATTATTGTTTATAAAACTAGTATAATTTACTATATTACACTTGTGACTGGATCGGGAACACAACTACTATTTTAATTAAAAATCAAATAATAGGAAAAATGTGTATTTTTCCCAAAAGTGCTCACAGCGAAGAGGAAAAGTAACAAACAACTAGTCAAAAGTGACATATAGAAAATAGATATAAAAAATATAAAGTTTATAAAAAGAATGGAAGACAAGCTGCCAGCAACAACACTTATCATTAAACTTACTTGTACGGTTGTTTGAAGCATATGTAATCGATGCTCCAGTCTTTCCGCTGCTAATTGAGCTCTTTCTAACCGCAAAGACAGAGCGGTTTCTAAACGATCTGTAATTAATTACCTTTCAATTAATTCGTATCTACTTATAATTGTCCTCGTCCTGTAGTGCCTTATGTTAATTTATTCAAACCAAGTTTGAACGAGCCCTTTGTGTGGATCCTTTTACAATTGATTAAACGGCGCTGTTGTTTAGTCAATTGTGAAGTACTTATGTGTTGCGAAAGTTAGTCTAGCGTTACATTCTAAAATAGAATATGACACAATAAGTTTTTAAGTGATGACTCATCGCTGTATAGGGCATAGGGGATCGAATTATTTTATATAGAAACTATGTGCAATCTTTACTCATATAAGTGCTAAGTAAGTTTGAAGTTTTAAACCTTTTCTCTATGGATCGGTAGGTTTGCTGCGTGCCAGTTTTTGTTACCATGGAAATGCGCCATTTTTGCACTCTTTATGTGGGGATAATTTTCTTATTTATATAGGGTAACTAACATGCTTAGAGTTCGTTTGATATAAGCAGCCATTTGAAAACAACAGGTGCATTAAAATTGTAACTGTTCTGAACAGTGGTGCGATGTTTTAAACTCACCTAATTTATCTTGTAAGACGTCAAGCCGGCGAGACTGTTTTGCTTGTACAGCACTGATGGTGTCTAACTGTCGTAACCTCTCTTCGATGTTCACCAATACACTAGTTAAATCCTGCAGACAATATTTTCTTAATGTACTACATACTAACAAAGTAAATGCATAGCGTCAGAAAATATGTTTTTTACAATAGTTTAGTTTTTGGTACCATTATTCATCAGTCAAGGAAGAGATCCTAAAAAGAAGGTTTTAATCCGATTGCAAATATGCTTTATTTGAGAATAGACTTAGGGTTTTCTTTCGTGTTGGTCTTATTCGTGTATTCTTCAGTATTCATACAAAGGTAGGGAGAAAGTAATATTAATAACTGCATTACTTAAGTGACTAAAATGTGATACCTTACACATTATACAATATAATTGCGATATTTACAATTGTAAAAAACCGAATAAATAACAATTGATTACTGTAAAATCCTTTTTAAAAATAAAACAGTGTTTTACATTTTCAAATATTTTTTTTTATTTGAATCAACTCACTACTCTAACAATCATTCTCAGTGAGCGAGAGAGATACTAGAGACGAGGAGGATTGCCGGTTTTATTTCGGCTTCGGGTTCTGGGACTATGTTCAAACTGGTGAACGACAAAATTACCTTTGGGTTATGTGAAGCTTGTGAGTATAAACGCAGGCTATGAGGCTCTGCGAGCGAAGTGCGCGCCAAGCAGAGCCACGCCAGCGCCGCCACGGCCGCGCTTAACATCGCCCCGCCTGTGAACAATTTTTTTAAATATCTAAATTAGCAATAAAAAAAATTAACATAGTCAATTATTTTAGTAATACGAGGGTAGTCACTTTTGGGACTATACGCCGGGAAGGAGTTATGTTCTAAATGTACAATTAATATAACACAGCATGAAATGTTATATAAAAATCTTAAATTATCAGTTTTTATTTTACTTTTCTTATTATATACTACAAATTAAATAGAGATTGTAGAGAATTTCGAAAGAGAGCTGTGTAGAGACTAATAAGTCTCTATGGGGTAGTATGCATTGATATGACAAACTCAAAAAATAATAGATGCTACGTCCATATGTACTGAATGCAGTGCAGTAATGCATTGCAAATTGGATAATAATCTGCTATATTTACATTACCGTATTAAGTCAGCACGGCGCATATAGCAATTTCTTTCAAGACACTTGTAGTTTGGTTCGGGTATAATTTTGGTTTTCAAAATAATACAAATGACAAAACATTTAAATACGCAAATATTTTAAAAAGTGTTTTTTTTTTATCTACAATAAGGGAATAACGCATGAATGTTCGGGCTACTCAATTAGTACCTACTCTAGCTACTAGACTAATCCGGGAAAGACCATACGTAGAGGACCATTTCTTAAAAAAATGCATTCACACATCGACCTATGTCGTATTTATGACGTAAGTCGTATCTATAGTTAAAAGTACTTCATGTGTTAGGTAAGAATATAATCGATTACCAACGAGTTAGTTCGCTGGAACCGAAGGCGTGTGCTTTACATCAGACGAAAAAGGAGTCATACTTTCTCCTCAGTTTGTACTTTATTTATACCACCTACAAGTTATGACGAAAATATCTACGTAATTTTTAATTTGATTGTAGCACTTTTCTATTTTATACATAGATACTATATAGCACTAATTGTTACCACATCGCTTTACTTGGAATTAGTATAACTCATGTATCGGATATAGATCGGATGAGCTACTGCATATCAATCAAGTTTCATAACAATTAAATGAACTATTTAGGAATACACAAACACGAATATTTTTTATGGGAACCCTACGCCAACATACGCCTATTAATTCACGTTTTATCAAAACAGTTATGAACTCAAAAAGTGCAAACATACTAACATTTATTTTTATATATACTAATATTATAAAGAATTTTAAATGTGAGTTTGGATGTTCTGGGTAATCTCCGCTACTGATCAGATTTTTATTATTATTATTACTGTACAAACTTTCACGTTACGACCAATAGGAGTAGAGTTGCAATGAAAAATGTAGCAAAAACGGAAAATATGATGCAGACGAAGTTGCGCTAGTAGCTAGTTTATAAATATTAAAGTTTTATGCATATTTCTATATAAAGTTAGACTCAGCAATTACAAGTTAATATGAACTCAATAGTCATACAATTAATTAATTAATTGCCTAAAGCTTTGTTTTGACAAAAGTTGTACGCCCTTTTTGAGGAAAAGCGTTTTAAATAATTGTTTGTGTCGGTTGCATTCCGTTCCGTTTTTTATACTACGTGGGTGGCAAACAAGCATACGGCCCATCTGATGGTAGACGGTTACCGTAGCCTATCACGTCACGCTCACTATACCCTTCTTGAAAAACCCCGTTGATTGTTATCTGCTAATTATGTTCAATCCCTCCCGTTAGGTTGAGTGAAAGAGACAAGTGCAGTAACAATAAGTATAGTCCTGTTTGACTTCAAAATTGTATGTCCTTCAATTAATATCGTCAAGTATTGGTTATTATAAACAGAATTTAAACAGTGTACACCTACTCCGGGGCAACAATTGACAGTGGTAGATTTTGTACAAAGTTGTTAGCGTATCTTCTGGCTCACCTATTTCGAACGCTTGCTTTGTATGACGTGTTTCGGTTGATGAGTATAATAGGCAGTGAAATTCGTACCCCGTGTACGGAGGCATAACATCTTAATACTATTGTATAGACAATAAGCAACAAGAAATGTTATCGTTAAGTTTTCTCTAAGCACGGGTAGGTATTCGTCAGTCATCTCATATTTATACTACCTCGCTTTAACATGCCATATATTTACAAAAACATATAAAAATACATAATTCTATTAAATGAAACGTAATGGTGTAAGCATATGACATGGCATACACTGGTATAAACCTTCGTGATATTCTTGAGAACTTGGATCGTTGTTTTTCGTTATTCTTATTTGCAAATTTCATCCTCATTACTGCGAAGTAAGAAAAATACGAAATCTGTATACATAGGTAACCATTTAATTAACGAATTGAAGCTAATACAGTGGGCGCGAGAATAGAATCAGTGTTCAAATGAATATCTCACCTTTAATCACTTATTAAGAACAATAACAATGTTGTTAGGCAATTTCAATGATGATTCAAATTAGGCGTTCTGTTTAGTGAGGCGTTTTAAACTGATTTCAAAAAGGGTAATATAAGGGAATTCATGAAAACTTTGTTAATTTTGTACCAATTATTAGTGTCCAATCTTTGTTATTGATAGATAGTGTTTAAAATAAATTAAATTGTTTTATATAAAAAAATATTTTAAATATCTTTTATATTTTTTACACAATTAATGAAGGTGTTAATTAAACTTTTGACTTCATTCAAATATTTTAACCGAGATGAAATGTAACCTATGTCCTTCATACTAAATATGTCCATCTTTAAGCATGTTTGATTCAGTAAATAAAGCTACACGAGATGCTAAGACATATACAAACTTATTATTAAATTTATTAAGATTAAGTCACGGATTTTCTGCAGTAATTATTTCGTATGGTGACCGACTAAAAGCATGAGGTTACTATTTTAATACTCAGCCTACTGGTCAGAGTGGTAATAATAGGCTAATTCTCCCGTTACGAGCAGGACTTGAGTCCGTAGGAAGGACAATTATAACATTTGTTATGATTACTTATGTAATATCAACATCCTTTATTGAAGTGTAAAGTTTTATTTATTTCCATACATAAAAAATATGTAAAGGAATATATACGAAGAAATGACATAACTAACTAATGAAAAGTATATATCTTATCTATGTTTTTTTCATGAGTTCATTTGAAATTATTGTAGTATTTAAAATTAATTTGTAGGTTTTAAATTTTATTACTAAAGAGTACCATTATTGATTGCGCAAAATTCGATAGTTAACAACTGTGTACTAGTCTGCTAATCTTCCTCTTTCAGTCGACATATACAATATTGTGCGCTAAAATATATAGAATGTATTGAACGGACAATACGGAAATTCAGAATAGTCTAATCCAGAGGCTTGAACTTAAATACACTATTACGGAACTAATGCAGTGCATATATAGCTGAAAGTGAATATATTATTTTTATATTCTACTAACAAACCCGACAGACGTTGTACTGTCTTGACTATGTCTATTGAATTCGCATTGGTATAATAAATAAAAAATAAATGCCGCCTAACTTTCCTAATGTTTTCTTTCACAACAACAAACACATTAAAAAGGAATTAGTGAAATCGGATATTATAATATTATCTATCTACCAACCTAGTAAGTCCTATTTACTAATATGCTATGGATCATCAATATTCAACATAAATAATTGCAGATTTGACATTTTTGTGGTATCGATACATAGAATATACATCTATAGCATACCAAAGAAATATAAAAGTTTGGTACGTACATAGTATAAATTTTATCTAAAAAACATGAAGTAACTAATAACAGTAATTAATATATGCATGCTTTCTATTTATAGATAAGATTCATGCATGTTAACACAGCATAATGCAAAGGATGTTATTAGTCAAAATACTCTGACCTGTGACAGTAATATACTGTATAAATATGTTTAATATTGTTTCTATAGTAGAGTATTATCTCAGGTCAGCGCCAGTCGTCGTATTTCATACAGATATCAGATCCACGAATGCTAGTCAATGTTAGTGTAATGTTGTTGCATTGTTAGTACTTAGCTCGCCTACTGGGTACATATAACACGATAGTATACAATGGAATCTGGTTTGGCATGCTTTAAATCTATTCCTAAAACTATAATTTTAATTGAATACTCTCTCTCTCGAATTGTATATCATAAACGTATTTTATGGTAGTTTAGATATAAATGTGTTAGAAATTTAGTTTGGTTTTGTATCTAACAAAATAATAATTAACATTTTCAATTATTATGGATAACAATACTTTCTATCTTGAATCTAACAATCAATATTTTTCTTATAAAACTCGTTATTCTGAAAGAAAACAACAATAATCCATGAAAACACACATAAACAAAGATCTATTTTTGTATTTGTTAAGTATGTAAGACTATAAAGTATTTATTTATTCTTATGTCGTCGGCTTATACAATACCTACATGAAATAATTCATTTACAGTTGTGTATAATAATTTGTTACGTTCGATTTGGTATCTGTTTATTGTTGTTAGTTTTTCAATGATTATAAGTAGAGTTTCTATGCTAAACAATCTCAACGGAAGTCATGGGATTAAATGGAATCGTTAAAGCGAAAACTATTTTCGGAACGGTGTATTAAATTAGATATTATTTTTAACAAAAATATTCTATTTAATTCCAAGAATTTTGAAAGGTTTTGAAATGTATTTAAACACCAACACAAAAATTTATTATGGTTATATTTTCTTTCATTTTCAATACAATTACTATTATTTTAGTTGTCTTGCATCTAGCAAGACAACTAAAATCTGAAACGATAAAACGCAAGTATGTAATTAATATCGCGTAGTCAAATCATTCTTGTCTGTTTTTTATTTATTGCCACTAAAAACTATTAATAACTAAACTAATTGTTTGTTGTATAAGAATATTGACTCTCTTACAAACAAATCTAAATAAAAGTCAAGTGGAATGAATACTTATAACTAATTCTCGTAGTATTCTTAATGCGTAAGAGTCAAAGAAAGAAATAATAATATTCTTTCACAACTTTGTATGTAAATTTCATTGTGAAGG